TATCTATAATATAATTATAATATAACCTTATAATCTAATTTGAGAAAACGCTCTGTGTGTGTGTGTGTATGTATGTATGAATGAATGAATGAATGAATGAATGAATGAATGAAGAGACAGTTGCTTGCATGTAATCTCCCCCATTAGAATGTGAGCTCCTTGAGAGCAGTTCACCGATTTGGGGTTTTGTTTTTGTTTTTTTGCCTTTTCTTTGTCTTGTTAGCACTTAGCACATTGACTGGCACATAAGTAGGTGCTTAATTAATGCTCGTTGACTTGCCTTGCCTTTGGCTTCAGAGAGCTTGGATGAAGGATGTTACAATTTTTGGCTCCTTACTATATAGTAGACTTTTCTAACAGTTCAAGCTGTCTGGAGATCTGGTCTCAGGTTCCTTAACTGTGTTAAACTAGCTTGCCTAACAGTCCCTCAGTATCTGAGCAAGAATCTGCAGCCCAAACTGTATGTTTTCTGGCAGAATATGCCAAGTATTTCACCCTTGGTTACCAAATTTTCCCATGCTTTCTCAATTTATATATCATAGGGAATATTGTTACCTAGTTTCTAACTTGCTCTGACTCTTCTCATAGACTAGAAGGTGACAAGAAGGTTTCATTAATTACCTGAAGCAGCTAAGGGAGCCCCAGGTTACATACAAGCTAGTGTTTGGAGGTGATGGCCACAAGCCAGGGACTTGGCCCAGTCGTTACCCACCTTTTAGACAGTTGGCAAGTAATCTGAAAGGATTTGTGCTTGGAATTAAGGAGTCATTCTGTAGCGAAGTCTGCTTAGGATTCAGGCATTTGGGCAGAAGCACAAGTTCCCTTTATTCTAATTCAATTCAGTATGTAAGGGCTATTACATAACAGTGCCCAGCATTATGTTAAGCACTTAGAAGAAGATAAGAGCCCCTGCCCCCCAGGAACTTAAAAATGAATTGAGGAAGTGAGATGACGGCCATGGGTCACTTCATTGGGGGTGGAGTTGCTGTGGCTTTGTCCCATGTTCCAGGATGGAGGAGAGAGCAAGGTTGCTTCCTGCCTATGGTAGTTTGTATGTTCCTCTGAAGGGGTTGGGAAGAAAAGATGAACCCTGAGATGGAGTAAAGGCAGGAAGAGATCCGGGGAAGTCAGTGGGGCAGTGGAAGAACTGATGATGCAAAAATTTGCTTGATCCATGAAAGCGTTCTTAAATTCTTGTCCTTTTAGTATTGTCTACTCTGCAAAGCCCATGTTTTTCAGGCTATCGGCTTACCTGAGTTCAAATTATCTTCCATGGAGTTGGCTCATTTTCTCTCCTTTGCAACCCCATCCCCCTATTTCATGTCTAGGAACCGACCAAGAGTTCAGCTAGGGTAAACTGTGTAAGCAGGTTGAAACACCATTTTGTTTTGTTGTTATTGTATAATATTTTATTTTTTCTCAATTACATGTGAAAACAATTTTAACATTCAAATTCCCTCCCTCCCTTTTCCTCTCCCTTGAGAAGGCAAGCAAATTTGACATAAGTTATACATGTGTAGTCTTGCAAAACACATTTCTCCATAAGTCATTCTGGGAAAGAAAACACAGACAAAAGAACCCTAAGGAAAATAAAGAAAGTGAAGAAATAGGAGCTTCTTGTTTGTACAGCTGATATGAGTGGTCTTTTTTGGCCAGGTCTTTCTCTGGAGATAGCATCTTTAATTGTACAATACTGTTCTGTGTACAATGTTCTCCTCATTCTACGCATTTCACTTTGCATTGGTTTATATAAGTCTTTTCATGTTTTTCTGAGAGCATCCTGCTCATCATTTCTTATAGCACAATAGTATTCCATCACAATCATATACAACCACTTGTTCAGCCGTTCCCCAGTTGATAAACATTGCTTCAATTTCTAGTTCTTTGCCACCACTGTTATAAATATTTTTGTATAGGTAAGTCCTTTTACTTTTTTTTTTTTATCTCTTTGGGATACAGACCTAGAAGTGGTATTGCTTGGTATGTCTGCATGGTTTTGTGGCCCTTTGGATATAGTTCAAATTGCTCTCTACAATGGTTGAATCAGCATATAACTTCACCAATAGTACATTTATGTTTTAATTTTCCCACAGGTAGGTGGAGCAGTGGATAGAGTACCAGTCCTGGAGTCAGGAGGACCTGAGTTCAAGTGCAGCCTCAAACACATAACACTACTAGCTGTGTGACCCTGGGAAAGTCACCCAACTCCAATTGGTCACTTAACTGGACTTACAAAAAAAAATTCCCAGTCTCTTCCAACATTTGTCATTTTGCTTTTCTTGTCATATTAGCCAATTTTATAGGTATCAGATAATAGCTCAGAATGTTTTAATTTGCATTTCTCTCCTCAATAGTGATGAGATAGCTTTGATTACTTTGTCTGAAAACTGCTTGTTCATATACTTTGACCATTTATCAATTGAGGAATGGCTCTTATTTCTGTAAATTTGACTCAATTTTCTATATGTTTGAGAAATGAAGTCTTTATCAGAGAGAAAGCCATTGTAAAAAGTTTTTTTCACAGTAATGATTACCACCTATTTATTTTCCCCTTGTTTATCCTGTTCCCTCTCTTTATTTAACCCTGTCTGTTCTCCTCTACTTTTTATACTTGATATTCAGAATCCTTTTTGAGCTCTTCCATGGCCTGAGACCAATTCATATTTTTCTTGGAGGCTTTGGATGTAATAGCTTTGACGTTGTCTTCTTCTGATTATATGTTTTGATCTTCCCCGTCACCAAAGTAAGATTCTGTAGTCTGAGTGTTTTCCCACTATTTGCTCATCTTCCCAGCCAGTTAGTTGACTTTTAAACTCTTTGTTAAGGTAGGGGTTTGCTTCCAAGGTGGCGGGTGCATTGTCCCAAGCTTCAGGAGTTTTGTGCAGCTGTTTTCAGAGATACTTCTAGGGACCTGTAGGTTTTAAGTTCTTCAAAAGTGGTATGATCTAAGGAGAGGTGTTTACTTCTGTCCTGGCCTTTGCTCTGGTCTGTGAGTGACCAGAAGCACTCTTTCTGCCCTGGAACTGTGAGGAGGGTTCCCTCTGCACTACTGCCACAAGGTCTGCTATGCCAGTGCTCCTTCTTGCCCCAGGAGTGCAACTCAGATCCAAGTATGCACAAAGCAACAGACTCCTGCCTTAGTGCCACCAGAGAACCCTGTAATCTCCTTCTGATCAGTTGTTCCATCCCCTTACTGTCTGTGGGCTGAGAGCTGTAGAAGCAGCTGCTGTTGCCACTGCCCTGGCTGCACTGTGGTCTTCTCTCACCCAAGTCTGATAGACCTTTCCCACTGACCTGCTAAATTGTCTTTGGCATTTGTGGGTTGAGAAGTCTTGAAATCACCACAGCCAAGCATTATTCAGTCGCCCTGGGGCCTGGTCTTCACTAGCGTGACCTGCACTGGACTGCACTTTTCTCTTGCCCTGGTGCAACAGACATTTCCTGCTGACCTAAGTTGTCTTGAGCTGGAAAATTGTTTCACGCTGGGTTTTTTTTTTGTGGGTTCTGCCACTCTAGAATTTTAGAGTCATTATTTAAAGGTATTTGGAGGGGTTTGAGGGAGAGCTCAGGTGAGTCCCTGCCTTTACTCCACCATCTTGGTTCTGCCCAAGACCATTTTCTTTTTTTTTCTTCTTCTTTTTTGTTGTTTGGTTTTTAAGGCAGTTGGGGTTAAGTGACTTGCCCAGAATCACACATGTCCTCCTAACTTCAGGGTCTATCCACTGTACCATCTAGCTGCCCCTCAAGACCATTTTCTAATGATCATTTTCTCTTGAGTCCTCTGGACCCCTCCCTGTACCCCAAAAACTCTGGACTGGTCTTATTTTCTTGTGTTCCTGGGGTTGAATCTACTGAGATAATTTAATATGGATAGACATAAAGTCTTGAGCTTGGGTTCAGAAAATCAACTTCACACATACAAGATGGGAGAGAGATGGTCAAATGACCTTTCACCTGAAAAAGATGCAGGGGAAAAAGAGTGCACTGCATGTTTAATTCAAATTACCAATCGAATATGGAAGCCACAAAAACTAAATTAAGAGAGACATAGCTTTCAGGAATTAGTGGGTGATAATTCATTGCAGCATAAATGAAGAGATGGAAGGGACCTCAAAGGCCAAATAGTTCAAAGCGTTCATTGTAAAGATGAGGAAATCGAAGGGTCCATGTAAAGGGACCTGCCTAAGATTACACAGGTAGTAAGTGGAAGAGATGATGTAAGAGAAGTTCCCCTGATTATTTATCACAATATTTTTGTGGTAGCAAAGAGTTGGAAATTAAGGGGATGTCCTCAGTTGGGGAATGGCTGAACAACTTATGATATAGGACTGTAATGGAATACTATTGTGCTGTAAGAAATGACTAGCAGGATGGTTTCAGAGAAACCTGGGAAGACTTACATGAACTGATGCAAAGTGAAGTGAGCAGAACCAGGAGAACATTGTACACAGTAACAGCAATAGTGTACAATTATCAACTGTGAATGACTTAGCTACTCTAATCAAGTCAATATCGAAGCCGTTGAATTCCAAGGGACCGATGATGAAAAATGCTATCCACTTCCAGAGAGAGAAAACGGATGAACTTTGAGAGCAAATTGAATCATATTTTTTTCACTTTTAAAATTTTTCTTGGTGTGTGTTTTCTTTCGTAACATGGCTAATATGGAAATGTGTTTTGCATGATTTCACATGTATAATCAAGATCATATTTGCTTTCTCAAGGGGTACGAGAGAGAAGGAGAAAATCTGGAACTTAATTTTAGAAAATGAATGTTAATTTTTTAAAAAATTTAGTTAGGAAATATTCAATGAAATAAATAATGCATAAAGATGAAAAAACTAACCCCCTCGAAAAGGAAGTATATGTGTATATGCAGGAGCTCAGATACTCAGCCTGGCTTGGTTTCCTCAAAGTTGAACATTAACTGAACAGTTGGCTCCGTTTCCCAATCAGTGGCTGATGAGTTTCATACTCCTTTCTGATTTCTTTTCTTATAGGTATCCGCCCCTACAAATGTGAGATCTGTAATAAGGCCTTCACCCAGCGCTGCTCTTTGGAGTCTCATCTGAAGAAGATCCATGGGGTGCAGCAGCAGTATGCCTACAAACAACGTCGGGACAAGCTGTACGTCTGTGAGGACTGCGGCTATACAGGCCCTACACAAGAGGACTTGTACCTGCATGTGAACAGTGCCCACCCAGGAAGTGCTTTCCTCAAAAAGACATCGAAAAAACTGGCTGCCATTTTACAGACGAAGCTAACCTCTGTTCTCCAGAGAAATGCTAAACTAAACGAGGAGGACAAATGAGGGGAAAGGAGGAGAAAAAGAGAGGGACTGATGTTCTGAAGTTTACATGTTTGATAAGTTCATATGCTGGTTTTGTCCCCCCTCTCTTTATAGTTTTTTGTTTTAAATTAAGAAAAGTTCAGAGATCTCTCTGTCTCTTCTGCTTCCCTCAAGATAGTGGCCTCATTCATTTTTGATCCTTTGTGATACCACCACTTGTGATGTTGGTGTCTAGTCTTGAAACTGAGAGAAATTGAGGAAAGACTTGCAAAAAGCTAGTTTTTTGTTTTTTTAAACAGGGGCCGCTTTTGTGTTTTGTACAGTCATTGTTAGGACTCAGTAAAAGGGGTTAAAGGTCTTCTTGAAGACATTACCAGTTTTATTCTACAAGATCCTGAGTTGCTGGTACCTTGAAGGAAAGTATCCTCACTCTAATGTTGTTAAGATGAGAATGGGATTATTTCCTTTCTAACCAAGTTTACAGAAATTATTTTAATAAATGAAATGGCCCCATGAACCTTTTTTTTCTAAGAAGAGGCCAACTATATTTTCATGTCAGGCTTTATGGTGTGAACTTTGACTTAAGATTATGTTTTGATTGTTTTTGTGATTGTTTGGGAAGGGAGTTTTTTTTAAAAAAAAATTGAGGGAGTTGAGAGCTGGGGCAAAAAAATCAGAGCTAAATGTGCAGCATCCGTTCCCCCACCTTGTCTTGACAGTCGTGTGCACACCTTATTGTCATGCTGGCAAGGTGCTGCTGCAGCTGTAAAAAAAAATAAAATAAAATAAAGGAAGGTAAATTCACAAACCCTTCATTTTGCTTTATTGTCATGGAAGCAGCTCCACACTGTACATAAGGCACTGCTGCGACTTAACAGTCTCACTGTCTGTACTATCCCACAGGTAGGCAGAATGGGTCGTAATTCTGTACCTGTTACGGAGGCCAGGGTGTCTGAGTTCTTAGATTTAGGGTTGGAATGGACCTTAGGGCCCATCTAGTCCAGCTCTTTCCATTGCGCTGTGTTGCTAGTTTCCTAATTCCCGATCCCTAATGACTAAAGTCTGATATTTCCTATGTGACTTGGGTAACTGACTTATTCTTCCTATGCCCCAGTTTCTTCATCTGGAAAAGGAGGAATGAATGAAAAAGCATTTAAGTGCTTATTACATGCAAAATTCCAGAGTTACAAAAAGAAAATTGAGACAATCCCTATTCTCGTGAAATTCATATTCTTATTGAGGGAGACAGTCTTCAGAGGTCTGGAGCCTTCAATAGCAGGGCAGATGGTTAGGCTTGGTGGGCCTCCATTTTGCCTGAGGGATGGTAGATAGGAGATTCTTGTTTGTACAACTGCTATGAGTGGTCTTTTGTGGCCATCATGGTAGGGGAATGGGGAGGGATCCAGGCCACCTCTACGGGGAGGGAAGGAGTGCATCTGAATGTCAGAATGGAAAGGAAACTCGGGGTTCCCTTCCACAGGGTTGGAAAAGAGAGCATTGGCTGGAAGGTTGGGGAGAAGAGCTGTGGTAGGGCCCTCTGGCGCCCCGCTGAGATCTGGGGAGATAGGAGGTGGACTTTATGATCCCTGAGATTTCCTCCAGCTCAAAAGCTAGCGTTTTTCTAAGAAAGTTCAAAAGTTCCGTTTGTAAAGCCTATTTATATGACTAAACAAATAAGGGGGGGGAGGGAGAATCCACACGTGGTTAGCAGTCTTACCACTAGCAAGTGTGTTAATTGACCTTTGTGTACATCTTTTTCTGTGCCTGGAATGAGGCCAACCCACGTTGGGAAGAAAAACAAATTAAGCCTTTCTTGACCAAGACAGAGTGAGAGGTGCTAGTGGCCTCAGGCTGTGTGGTCTCAATCTCCCACTATACTTGTTGGGCAATAGTGTGGAACCAGAATGCAAATCTTTGGAAATCTCTGGAATTCATGACTTGAGAAAGAAACTGGTGGAAGAAAAGCATCAGATTTAGAGTTAAAAGAAGCCTTTGGCATCGTCTGGTTTCTAGTCCAACCCCATCATTTTATAGAGAAGGAATGGTAAGACCCAGAGAAGTAAGATGACTTACCCAAGATCACACTCAGAGTGAATAATGATTAACTAGCATTTATATAGTGCTTTAAAGTTTCAAAGTACTTTACAAATAGTAACTGTTTTATAGAGGGAAGGGGTGGAAAGCACCTACTATGTGCCAGTCACTGTGCTAATAAGAACTTTACACATATCTCATTTGATCCTCACAGCAACCCTAGGAGGTAGGTACTATTATGATTCCTGTTTTACAACTGAGGAAAACAGGTTGTATGACTTGCCTAGGGTCATACAGTCTTATACCTAACTTTAGGGGTGGGAAACCTAGGAGGCCACACGTGGCCCTCTAGGTCCTCAAGTTTGGCCCTTTGACTGAATCCAAATTTCACAGATGAAATCTCCTTCATAAAAAGATTTGTTCTGTAAAACTGCCTCAGTCAAAAGGCTGCACCCAAGGACCTAGAAGGCTACAGATTGCCCACCCCTGCCTTACTCCCTGTCACATACTCTGATCCAGTGACACTGGTCTTCTTGTTCCACAAACGGGACACTCCAGTCTCTCCGGTCTGGGTATTTTCTCTGGCTATCTCCCCTATTTTTCCTTTTCTCCTCTGTCTACTGCCTTCTCTGGCTTCCTTTGAGACCCAACTAAAACCCCATCTTCTATAGAAAGCCCTTCTCAATCCTTCTTAAATCTATCTAGTGTCTTCCCTCTCTTATTTCCTATTTCTCCTGCATATGGCTTGTTGCTATGTATTTGTTTGTTGTCTTCCCCATTAGATTGTGAGCTCCTTGAGGGCAGTGACTGTCTTTTGCCTCTTTTAATATCCATAGTGCATAGCACAGTGCCTGGTTCATAGTAGGTGCTTACTAAAAATTTATTGACTGACTAACTCAGCTAACTGAGGCTGGATTTAAACTCAGGTCTTTCTGTCTGCAGACCCAGCACTCTCTCCACTATACCACCAGCTGCCTCTAGATTAATGATTTGAGGCTAAGGGCCAGGCCTCAGACTCTAAAACCACTGCCCTTTCTACTCTATCTTGCTGTCTTGTTTATCAAGAGCTGCTATTGAATTTTGGTATCAATAATAACACCATTTTTTCCCCTTTACCCTTAGGGACTTTTTTTGTTGTTTTTTTGGCTAGGCATTGGGGTTAAATAACTTACTCAGGATCACACAGCTAATGAGTGTTATGTGTCTGAGGTTGGATTTGAACTCAGGTCCTCCTGACTCCAGGGCCGGTACTCTATCCACTGTGCCACTTAGCTGCCTCCGTCCTTTACACTTTTTGAGGACTTCCTTGGCTCCCTGAAAAATCTCTTTGGCTTTGAAAGTTCTTTAAGACCTGGTGGCCCTGCATTTCCTACCTTTCTTGTATTTTTACATCTGACTCCCCACCATATAATCCAACCTTCTGAAAGAAGACTTTCCTGATCCTCCTTAATGTCATTGGAGACTACCTTGAGTTTATCCTGTGTGGACCTTGTTTGTAAATAGCCGTTTGTATGTTATCTCCCCCAATAGATTGTGAGCTTCTTGGAGAAAAGGCTCCCCCCACCCCATTCTTTGTTTTCCCTGGCATTTAGTATAGGGCTTGGCACACAGTAATAATAAAGGCTTATTGACTTGAATGAAGGGTAGGCTTCCCAGGAGCCCTCCCATCCTCCCTCTAGCTTTTCTGTATTGTTAATGCCAGTCCACAAGTCAGAGTGAACCTGTGGGTTAACTTAAGGTCCTCTCACATCTGCCTATCCTCATCTGAGCCCACAGAAGTTTCCAAGAACCTCAGAAGTCAGTCTAGGGCTGAAAGCTGAAACTTGTTGCAGCCTAAATATACCTAGGTCAGCAGCAGAGGCCCTAGGCCAATGGTGGGATGACTGGGAGCTCCTGGTAATCCTTGAACTGTAGCTCATGGCTCCATAAGACTGATCATCTTTTCCTGGGCACATTGCTTGGTTGTCTCTCTATCTGCAGGTTAAGGGTACTGTGGGTCAGAACACTATAAAATATGGTCAGATCTTGATAGTACAAAGTGGAAGAACTGGTAAGATGATGGATAATTAAGCCAAACCTTGTTTTATTTACGATTGGGTCAATTCCAGCAAAAGCAACAGATTTTTATATGGTTGGTTGATTGACTTCTATTTTGCCTCCCTTTCCCCAACATCTAAGATGAGGTAGAGTTATTTAACCTTCATAAATTAATTTTACCTTATAAGTCACAGAATTTTAGAGCTAGAAAGGAAACTTAATCCAGCTCCTTAATATTTTAGCTAAGGAAACAGGCCCAGAGAGGTCAAGATGCTAATACGAAGTAACACAACTAGTTAAATGGAGGAAGTAGGACTGAAGGGATTTATTGATCAATATATTTATTAACTGCCTACTATGTGCCAGAGAACGCTAGGTGCAGGGGATTAAAATAATTCCTGATCACAAAGAGTATGCATTCTAGCAGGAGAGATGATGTCTGAGGACTGTCTACACCAAGGTTGTGGCTGTAGTGAAGTAAAAGGGGATGTGGTTTGAAGGTAGAAATGAGAACACTTGGCAACAGTTGGATATTGGGAGGTAATATGAATGGGATGTGGAAAACGGTGGTGCCCTCCATGAAATAGGAAAATTGGGAAGAGGAAGAGATTTGGGGCAATAGGTAACACCAAATAATGCAGAACAGTGGGACAGTAACTTAGGGAAAGGGAAGTATTGACATAGGGCAAAATCGTGCAGTCTGCAAGTTTATCTTTAGGGCTATCTCCTGTTCTACAGTAGTCTTCCTCCTGTCTCCTTCCTCCTAACTTCTTAGGGATCAGTTAAGCTGGTTCAGGTTAAGCTTCTTAGGGATGTGGGGTTTTTTTTCTTTTTTTTTCTTTTTTGTATTTTAATCAAGACCAGACTTGAGAACACAAATCTAAGAATCTCTTTGTAAATATGGAAATGAGAGGGGTGTTGTTGGAAGGAGATGTTTGGACTGCTGCTGTTGGATACAGCACTAGACTGGAAATCAGAAAAAAAATGGCCTCAGCAACATTCAGAAAGAACATTATTTTGGGTGGAAAGATAGAGACTGGACCTGTGATGTGATTTCATCAGAGGGAACTCTTCCCAAGGAACACTTGAGCACCTTTTCAAAGGATAATTTCGAAGAGTCGTCCAGAGGCAACTTTGGCATCAAAGATAAGGCCGCCAACCTTGGGAGCCAGATTAAAATGTAATAGGGAAGTATTTGGCAAAATAAATGAAGATTCAATAAAATATATCGAATGTCATATTTTTAAACTAAGCCAATATGTGACCTTGAGGAATCCCGTACTGATTAGTGTGGGGGGAGGGGGAGGCCTTTCTATTTGAGTTCGACATCGCTGGCCTAGGGTACTGAAAAGTTGTGATTTGGCTTCCCTCAGAGGTAAGTGGGACTTGAACCCAGGTCTTCCTGGCTCCAAGTCAAGTTAAGCATTTATTAAGCACTTACTGCGAACCAGGTGTTAGTGCTAAGCATTGCCTGCCGATACA